AAAAACTGTCTCATTAACTAACTTCTATTCAATTTTCATACTGCCGTACTCTAACGGTGCTATCCACCTACTCTCTTCTAAAGATCATTCTCTTGCTAATAAATTATCACACTAAAGCTTCATGTTAGCATTTCCAACCAACTCTGAAAATCGCTAACTTCGCGTATGAAGTAACATAAAAACACTTTGAATGTTCTTTATAAATAGGTACTGTTCTACAAATTTCGTTCAAACATAGTTTGCATGTAGAAAACCATAGATTGAGAGATAAAAATCAGAAAATAGGCCGTTATAGCTATAATTCACAAGACAACATAATCAATAAAAGTTTCAATTAGATTGACAGAACATAGTTGCATTGCTTTTCAATGACGACCGATGACTGTTTCATTGATAGATGATTTTTTTAGAAATATGAATCCTCAGTAGACGTGTTTTTTTTATATCAAAGGCAAGTGTCACTCGAGCCATCCAAAATGTTCGTTATTTTATAAATTGCTTTTATGGCTCGAGTGACACTTGCCTTTGATGAAGAGATGAACTAGCCTATGGCTAAAAATCTCTTAAATAAAGATAAAAAAAAAAAACTTGCCTTTGATATAAAAAATACGTCTACTGAGGATTCATATTTCAAAAAAAAATCATCTATCATTGAAACAGTCATCGGTCGTCATTGAAAAGCAATGCAACTGTGTTCTGTTAATCTAATTGAAACTTTTATTGGTTCTGTTGTCTTGTGAATTATAGCTATAACGGCCTCTTTTCAGATTTTTATCTCTCAATCTATGGTTTCTACATGAAAACTATGTTTGAACGAAATTTGTAGGACAGTATAAAGAACATTATGCCGTAGACTGGTGCATTCCGAACATTTCTGTTAAAATGAACATGTCTAGTAAACAGTATTTATTCATTTTTTGAATATGTGTGGGTTTTCTCGAAACTGGTAAAACTTTAAACACTAATGTAAACTTTTTTTTAGCCTTCTTTTGAGTATGGCGCTGACTCCTTGTCGCTCAAATTTTCGTGATGTGGACTGGGTCAGCCCAAATACTCCTTTCAGATGAACTTAGAGTTATTTGTTTTTCATTAGGAAAATCGGCTGGAGTAGATAATGTTAATGCTAGAGTTAATCAAGATTGCTTTCGTGTCATTGACCACATCTTGCTGGACCTTATTAATGAATCATTGCAAACTGGACATGTGCCGCAAATTTGGAAGGAATCTTTAGTGGTTCCTATTCAAAAAGTTGCTGGAACGATTAAAGCCGAAGAATTTCGTCCCATCAACATGTTGCACGCTTTAGAGAAAATTTTAGAACTTGCCAGCTGCTGGAGTATTTAAATAGTAATAGTTTGATGATACCAGAACAATCGGGATATCGGGAAGGTCATTCTTGTGAAACCGCGTTGAATTTGATATCAGTGAAGTGGAAAAATAACTCGGAGTGTGAAGATACGATTGTTGCTGTTTTTTTAAAATCTAAAACGCGCTTTTGAAACAATTTCTAGGCCCTTATTGTTAAGATCAATCAAGCGCTTTGGGATTACGAGTGCTGCATATAAATGGTTTGAATGCTATTTGTCTGACAAAACTCAACGGACTGTTTTTGATGATTATGGTTCTAGTCCCGTGGGGAATAACCTTGGAGTTCCCCAGGGAAGTGTATTAGGACCCCTGTTATTTATTATGTATTTTAATGACTTGCGACGTGTTTTACGATTTTGCGACATTAATCTTTTTGCAGATGATACTGTGTAATTCATTGCAGCTAAGGATTTAGATGATGCCGTTTTACACTTGAATGAAGATTTGCGTTCTCTTAGTAGATGATTGAAGTATAAGCAGTTGAAATTGAATACAAGTGAAACTAAATTTATGATAATTTCGCGGAATAGAGTAAATGAGAACGTCTCTGTTGTAATTGATGATGAGACTATTGATCGCGTTCGGGACATTAAATATCTTGGCGTGATTATTGATGACACACTTAAGTTCAACTCTCACATTGACAATGTCATCAAGAAAATTGCCAAGAAGTATGGAATTCTATGTCGACTGAAAAACGATTTAACTATTGCCAGTAAAATAGAGCTATACAAATCAATCATCTCTTCTTATCTAGACTTTTGCCCTTCCATTTTATTCCATTTTTCCAGAAATCAATAATGCGTTTGATATTGAGATGTAAAAGATGTATATTTGACTATGGTGTTCATTTTTAAAGTAGTTAATGGTTTGCTGCCTCGATATTTTTTTTTTACGTAGGACTACGTCTGTGATTTCTATATCGGGGTACACTTTGTGAAAACTGAAAATGGAACATGTAACAACATTATGAAAGATTTTGAACGTTAATAACTCAGCTGCCCCTGGACCAATTTCAATAATTTTATCACCAATCCATCAGAAATATTCCTACACATCTGTTAAATTTAAGACTTTATCATTTTTTGAAATGTCACTATTGAAAATTACACGAATGCAACTGTTGCTATGATAGTTTAAATAATCACCGATTGCCTGCGAAAAGTGATTTCCCTAACACAGATTTCAAAGTTGAATTCGATCCGGTCTCACCAAACAATGTTTATTCAATCACCGCATGGTGATTGGTGATATTCTCCAGTTCACAACGAAAGACTGCCTGCAAGCAGCGAGCTGCAGCCTACATGACCATCCATAGAAGGAGAAAGAAGTCGCACAGCTATTGATCGGAATCAGTAGCTCTTACTGAGTCGCAATGGGCCATATATGTTAAGCGCGTCATACTAAAGGGTATAAACAGATAGAACTCCGCTCAAATTCCTATTCCTACACAAAACACAAGCTCCTGCTCCAGTTAACAAATAAGATTTATTATATAAAGGGCGAACACGAAATTATTGCGACACCGAAAATGTCATGCCAATTTTCTTATAATGTTTAGAATCAAACCAAAATTTTAGGGTAGTTTTATACATATATTTACTTCAAAAATCAAAAGAAAAGTTAATCGATGGAGCCTTGAGTGTAAAATTGAACGCATTTTCGCTTGATGCCCTCCATCAAAGTCTTTACAGTGTCATCCGGTATCAGTTTCTCAGTTTTTTTTTCCATTTTCTTAACATGTCCTTCTCGTCTTTGACTGTCTTCTTGCTCTTCCGAAGTTCCCGCTTCATTATTGCCCAGTACTGCTCCACCGGGCGCAGCTCCGGACAGTTTGGCGGATTCATGTCCTTTGGAACAAAATTGATAGAATTGGCCTCATACCACTCCAGGACACTTTTAGAATAGTGGCATGATTCCAAATCTGGCCAAAATAGCGGAGCTTTGTCGTGCTGCTGCAAGAACGGCAAAAGGCGCTTCTCGAGGCACTCAGATTTGTAGATCTCGCCATTTACTGTGCCCTTTGTCACGAAAGGCTCACTCCTCAGTCCGCAAGAGCAGATGGCCTGCCAAATGAGATATTTGGAGGCGAACTTCGACATTTTCTTCTTCTTAAATTTGTCGTCCACATCGAACTTGCTCTTGCCGGTACTCCAACCCCGGAATTTGCTTAAAATCGGCTTTTATATACGTTTCGTCGTCCATCACACAGCAGCCATATTTTGTCAGCATCTTCTCGTAGAGCTTCCGTGCCCGAGTTTTAGCCGTCGATTGTTGCCGCTCATCGCGGTTTGGGAAGTTCTGTACCGTGTATGTATGTAGTCCAGCTCTCTTCTTTGCATTCTGGACGTAGCTCTGCGACATGCCGATCTTTTTAGCCAAATCACGGCTTGAGACGTTGGGATTTGCTTTAATCATCAGCTTCACCTTTCCCTCCGTCTTTTTGTTCTCCGGTCCCGGTTTTCTTCCAGCTCCTTTGCCGTGGTCCAACGTCAACCGCTCCTGGAACCGCTTCAACACTCTGGAGACGGTTGAATGGTGAATGTTCAACATTTTTCCCAACGGCGCCGGTGGTGTAGTGGTAAGCGTGATTACCTCTCACTCCAGCAGGCCTGGGTTCAATCCCAGTCGGCGCCGCCGGGATGTTCTGAGGCATAACATCTCTGATCACGTGTTCAGGCTCTCCTGGCCTCGATTTTTTGTGGACTGTATTGCGAAATAACTATTTACACCATTTTTGTTCCATTTAACACTAAAACATTATTTATTTTCTCTAAAACTACATTGTAAATTTCACTTGTGTCTCGCACAAAGGTTCAACTCCGAATCCTTAAAAACACGATGGCGGCGCACATCCGCTTGCTCGCTTACATTCTGCCCCGCGGCTGCGAAGCTGGAATACGAAGATTATCGTTGTCATCTGTCGGCAAGGGAGCCAACTTGCAAATGGATCGCCGAAAAGTTCCATTGCAAGTCTTCACGTCGACCACACGAACCAAGGAATCCTTTCCCGGGTGAGTAGCAACAACTACGCCAAGTTTCCACACTTGAGGTGGAAGGTTGTCCTCGATTAACAGCACCACTGTTCCGGGTTGGATGCTTGCTGATGCTGCAGTCCACTTGCCTCGTGTCTGCAACGTTGTCAGGTATTCCCGAGACCAACGTCCCCAGAAATGCTCACGAAGCTTATCAAGATATCGCCATCGGGAAAGGCGATTGTCAGGCACCCCTTCACAGGATGGTTTTGAAATGCAGACCAGCGGCCTTCCAATTTGCAGATGTGCAGGTGTGATCGGAAGAGGCTCATCAGGACTGCTGGAAACGTTGAATAACGGTCTAGAATTCAAAATCGATTCCACATGGGTGAGTATGGTGCTATACTCTTCGAACGTAAGTATTGCGTTCTGAAGAGTTCTTTTCAGGTGCGTTTTGACACTCTTCACCCCGGCTTCCCACAAGCCACCAAAGTTTGGTGCTCTGGGAGGGATGAAATGCCATTCTATCTCTCTAGCCAGCAAAACATGATTGATCTTTTGGCGATGGACTTCACCTTGAAAATCCACGTACAGCTGATGAAGTTCGTTTGAAGCCCCCACAAAATTGGTGCCATTGTCTGAAAACATTCTGCGAACCTGGCCCCGACGGTTGATGAAGCGCTCCAATGCTGCAATGAACGCTTCGGAGGTAAGATCTGACACTAACTCCAAATGCAGATTCTTTGTTGCCATGCACACAAACACTGCAATATATCCTTTCACTAATTTTGGCCGATATTTCCCTTGCTTGACCGTAACAGGACCGGCGTAGTCAACACCGGTGAATTCGAATGGAGCGGCAACATTGACACGTTCTTCAGGTAGACTGCCCATGAGCTGCTGAATTCCTCGAGGCTGGGTACGAAAACACTGGATACAACCTCGCGTAACCTTCCTGGTTGTGGATCGACCTTTCAAAGGCCAGAAATTTCGCCGAACAATTGCCAATAGGCCAGAAGGTCCCACGTGCAGGTTTTCGATGTGAAGAGCTCTGACGATCATTTCGGCTACTGGATGATTTGGCAAAACAAACGGATGTTTGGTCTCGTATGATAGTTCCGATTCCTGCAAACGACCTCCAACCCTCAACAGATGATCATCGTCGAGCAGTGGACTAAGGGTTGCGAGTCGCTGTGGAATTTCACCTTTCTCTATGCTATGGATTTCATTAGGTAACTCCAACATCTGGACTACCTTCACAATGCACTTGAGCGAGCTTCTCATTTCAGGAACTGTCACAAATTTTGATGAGATTCCTGGGCACTTAGTCGATTTGCGTCTACAATTCCGAACAAAACGCAGAACGTAGGCAATTACTCGTTGCAGCTTACGGAAACTGCTGAACTTTGCAAACACGGGCAGGGCCTCGATGTTTTCCGCAACAACCGCCGTCACCTTCAACTCTGGAATCTCCAATTCCCGAATCGGCGCGGGTTGAGGACTGCAGTACTCTTCTTGTCTCAGGAAATCAGGTCCACTCCACCAGAGGTTATTCTTACATAACATGGCTGGAGTCTGACCTCGGGACACCACGTCAGCAGGATTGTGTTTTGTGTTCACGTACTTCCAAGTGTAACGATTCGTGAGCCTGTTGATCTCTGCCACGCGATTTCGAACGAAAGTTTCCAAAGAACCGAGTGGTTTCTTCAACCAAGCCAATGCAATCTGACTGTCAGACCACAACGTAACCTCCGAGTAATCCATCTCCATCACTTCAATCACCTTTGCCCCCAGCCGCGCTAGAAGCAAAGCAGCAAGCAACTCTAGTCTTGGAATTGTTGTCGCCTTCAACGGTGCCACTCTTGATTTCGCACACATAAGACGCAGCTCCGCACTTCCGTCAGGCAACACACATCGCAAATATATGCAGGCTCCGTACGCTACTATCGAAGCATCCGCGAACCCGTGGATCTCGTACCGAATGGCACCAGATAGCTTAACACATCGTGGCACTTGAATCTGATTCAGCGTCGTCAACGAAGCTCGAAAATTCACCCACTCAACCAGAATGTCTTCCTCCAGTTCGTCATCCCAGTTTAACTTGGAAGACCAGAGTTTTTGCATTATGATCTTGGCACATACTATCACCGGTGAGACGAGTCCCAACGGATCATACAGCTTCGAAATTTCAGCAAGGACGCACCGCTTCGTTAGCGATCGGTTACTGACCTCTTCTGACCAACTCTCGAACGTGAACTGGTCATTCTTCGTATCCCAGAACATTCCGAGTGCTTTGATTCCTTCCTTGACACCACTTTCACCAATCCTCACTAATTTTTCTCGTTCTTCTTCAGGCACACTTTCAAGCACTACCGCTGAATTCGAGCTCCACTTGCGAATCGGAAATCCGCCTGCGGATAGCAACTGTTTCACTTCCAACAAGCGTTGAGAAGCTTCTTCTTCTGTATCTGCTCCAGATAGCATATCATCCACATATACATCTTCTATCACCATCTTCGATGCAACTGGGTACCGGTGTTTTTCTTCAACTGCTAATTGCACCAAGCTTCTGGTCGCAAGAAACGGTGCTGCAGCCGTTCCGTATGTCACTGTTACCAGTTCCAAAATTCTCAGGGGCTTTGAAGGATCCTCTCTCCAGAAAATCCTCAAGAATCGGGTGTGGGTTCCATCGACACCGACCTGCCGGTACATTTTGGTTACGTCGCCGGAAAATCCAAACGTATGGCGTCGGAAACGAAGATCCACGGAAAATATATCGTTCTGGACGGTTGGTCCAGTTTTCATCACGTCGTTCAGGGAGTACTTCGAAGATTTTGCGCTAGCATCAAATACTACCCTTACTTTGGTTGACGAACTCGCCAGCTTAAACACCGCGTGGTGCGGTAAGTAGTATCGCGGCAGTTCAGATACGTCTTCTTCTTCTCTGATCTCTTTGCAGTGCCCAAGCAATTGATATTCTCGCATGAATTCACAGTACTGGCTCCTCAGATCTGGAGCGCGGGATAGCTTTCGCTCGAGAGTGTAGAAACGCTTCAATGCTAGGTTTCTATTGTCATCAAGCTCAGCGACGGTTTCCCGAAACGGCATCTGGACCACGAAACGACCAGATTCGTCCCGGCGATAAGTTTCCAGGAAATGCTGCTCAACTTCTTGTTCTTCAGTGTTCAAGGGTGGAGATTCCGTCACCTCCTCAACGGACCAAAACTTCTCCAGTTTCTCAGCTAGTGGATCTTGTAATGCAACATTTGTGATCAAAATAGAGCCACTCACCTGTTGGTACGGGTCGTATGTACCAGTAACGATCCAGCCCAGATCCGTTTCTCGCAGTGACGTTGTACCATTTGACAGCGCCACCTTCTTGGTTCCAAGCAAATCCCAGACGTAATTAGAAGCAAGCACCAAATCAATTTCGTGTGGCTTGAAGAAATCTGGATCCGCCAACCGCAACCCTTGCGGTACGTTCCACGATGATACATCGATCGCCATCGATGGTACATTCCCAGTCGGCCTTTCCGAAATCAAGCACGTGATGTTGTCTTGAAGTGAGCAGTACCTCGACGAGAAATTCAGGTTCATTCCTTTCTTTGCTTGAGTCTTCACTGCGTTTGCTCCTACTACGGTAATTTTGCATTTCAGGGTCGGCAAACCGAGAACTCGTGCCATCGATTCCGACAAGATGTGTGCCTGTGAACCTGAGTCCAACAGCGCACGGCAAGGATAGAGACGACCGTGTACATCCTCCACATCGATTATTGCCGTCTGAAGCAGCACCTGCTTAGTCGATTGTGGCAACCCGCCGCCGAGACATGACGTTGTTACCGAAACACTACTTCTGCCTTCCTGTGGATCTGGATCGTTCCTGTCAGCAACACCCATTTGTGCTGCAGGTTGCTCCTCCGGTTTGTCCTTGGGCTTCTGTGGTACTTGCGCTTCTGGCTGATCCTGATGCAGCATGCTGTGGTGCTTCTGGTTACACTTTGAACACGATCTCGTTGATAAACATGATCTGCCCATATGGCCCTTACGCAGACAGTTAAAGCAAACTCTGGCGTCCTTCACTTTAACCAACCGTTGCGCAACGCTCATGTTGCGAAAGGTGCTGCATTTGAAATTCGGATGGTCTCCACCGCACAGTTGGTACTTGGTGGTGCCTTGGTAGCTGCTTGCTTGGTAGAAGACACCGACGATGTGGTCGACTCGCACCGCTCCAGTACCAAGCACCGCTTTCTGAGGAATTCCATCGTTTCATCATACTTCGGAAGGTCTCCATGGTCGAGAGTACCCTCCCATAACTCCCTTGTTTCTTGGTCGAGGGCACCTGCTAGAATGTGAACAACGATAAGCTCCGACACTCCTAACAGGTGCTGTTCGTGGAACTTCAGATTTTCCACATGTCTTGAACATTCATCAGTGAGGATACGCAACTCCTTAGAGGACTTCTTAGCCATCTTCTTCAGCTGCATGATACCTTGTACGTGAACGTCGATAATCAACCTCTTGTTTTCGAAGCGTTGTTCCAAAATCTGCCAGGCTTGCTGATAGTTGTTGTCTTGGATTGTTTTAGCGTCGATGATCCCTGCCGCACTTCCTACTAGCGACTTGTCCAGATGGAACAGCTTCACTGCATCCGAGTCTGGAGAATTCCTCATCAAATCCTTGAACATCGACTTGAATTTAGGCCAATTTTCGTACCGCCCATCGAAAGTTGGCAATGGGGCACGAAGAGCCTGCTGGTGGATGACAACCTGTGGTTGACCGTTCGGCTGGACTCCAGCGGGAAGAACAGCCCGATTCTGGTTGGCGTTCTGAGCGTGAGCTTCCAATAGCGTCTCAATGAAAACTTGCGTCTCGTTGTAGATTGTCTCGAACTCGATGAGCTTACCTTCATGGTGTTCCTTTTGATTCTCCTGGATAGCTTGCATGATGGTGTCATGCACTTCGTTGAATTCGTCGTAATACTTGTCCACATTCTTTGCGTGGACACGAAGTTGTGGCATAGACATGCCTAGAAGATTTTCTTGCACTGCCTGGACCGCGGCATGGATCCTCGACAACTTGCTCTTCACTCCTCCGCGTTTAGAAATCAGCGACTTCAATTCCGCCATGTTTTCTTTCTTCGGTGTAGTTACTGGTGTTTTCTTTTCCTCCTTTATTTCTTCTTCGTGATCGGTGTCCGGGTGTCCTAGTAAAACGCGCCACATGGAATCGACAGATCAGCAGCGGGACTACTATCTGCCTGGATGAAAGCAGCGGGACTGCTTCCGGAAATGTTCCCGACCTTGGAACCAACAAACAAAATGGCGGCACGCATTCACTTTGCTTCACCTTTTTCACTTCACACTCCGAAATCAATTGTTTTCACTCTGCACCCATCGACTCGTCGATGATGCAAATAGCTGTCTTCAGTTTTCCAGTCACTTTTTAATGTTTTTAGAGTTCACACACACTGTTCACTGTCTCTGAAGATTCTTCAGTCCATTCAGGACGCCATTTTGTCTCTTCCACTTAGGATCTCATCCGGCTCCGATGGACCAATGTTCAGGCTCTCCTGGCCTCGATTTTTTGTGGACTGTATTGCGAAATAACTATTTACACCATTTTTGTTCCATTTAACACTAAAACATTATTTATTTTCTCTAAAACTACATTGTAAATTTCACTTGTGTCTCGCACAAAGGTTCAACTCCGAATCCTTAAAAACACGATGGCGGCGCACATCCGCTCGCACTTTTTTCTCTCGCTCGTTCGCTCGTTCCATTTTCCGTCCGTGTTGCCATGATTTCGTTGCTACACATTTCCTTGCCAGTGAAACCAAAATCGATCATAGCAACCGATCCAAATAAAAGTGAAAAAATATTGCACAGTGACAGTCAGTCTCGAAGTCCTCCTCAAGCGAACGGATGCTCGCTTACATCACGCCTTCCTTCGGATGGGAAGTAAAGCCGTTGGTCCCCGGTTCATGAGTTGATGGGTCGATAGGTAGGGTCCAGGTGTGGGAGCTGCCTTCCTGGCACGTCGGTAGCATTGGTGCTCAGCACGGAAAACAAGATCGACGGAAAAAACAAACCAAGGAGGGATATAACATTTTTCCCAACTGCCGGTGCGACAGGTCAGGAAATTCCAGGTGTTTGGAAAGAATTTGTTCTCTCAACTCGCGTTGGTTCACCTCCATTTTCGTTGAATCGAAAAACACGGCTTCGAGTTTGACAGCATGTACACAATACACATCAATGATAAAGTGTGCAAAATTTGGTTGATTTTTACCCAATGGTAAAAAAGTTATGCCCTGTTGAATGTGTCGCAATAATTTCGTGTTCGCCCTTTAAGACCACGTAGTCCTACGTCACCATTGCGTACAACCCCATAGGGCTGTCCCTTGTAGTTTTTTTTATTATAGTCATTTTAACGCTCTTGGGTCATTCGTGACTTGTCCGCCCGCATAAACGCGAACCATCACATGACCTTACCGATAATGGTTATAAATTGTTTATAATCCCTGCTAAACTTCAACTGAAATGGTTATGGAACTTTACATGAACGTTTGTGTGATAAAGTTTTAACCTTATGTATTATGGTTTTTCGGAAGCGGACCTTACAAATAATGGGTTGTTAAGAACCATTACCATTCCAAATTCTTGTTTTCTCCATACATTTTCGGAAAGAGAACTATATTAGAACGTTTTTACTTATGGTTTGAGAACATTAATGGTTATGGTTATGGTAGTCAGTAAGGTCCATTAATGGTTTTGTATTATCGCTCAACTTTACGTGAAATATATCGTGAATTGGTAATCAGTAATTTACAGGCAACCAATTCGCGATATATTCCACATAAAGTTGATCGATGTTACAAAACCATTCATGGACCTTACTGGTTACCATAACCATTACCATTTATGTTCTCAAACCATAAGTTAAAAGGTTTTAGTATAGTTTTCTTTCCGAAAATGTATGGAGAAAACAAGAATTTTGCATGGTAATGGTTCTTAACAACCCATTATTTGTAAGGTCCACTTCCAAAAAACTATAATACTTAAGGTTAGAACTTTATCATTAAACGTTCATGTAAAGTTCCATAACCATTTCAGTTGAAGTTTAGCAGGGATTATAAACAATTTTAACCATTTTAGGTAAGGTCAATTTATGATTCGCGCTTATGCGGGCGGGGGTGAGATTTGAACTCGTGACTTTGGCGTGAGAGGTATGGATGTCAACCACTACGCCGGGGTCGCCCCCTGCCTCGATATTTGTGTGATCGAATTGAAAGAGGAAGTGACTTTCATAGATATAATACTAGAAACGCGGTTGAAATAAGAACACCACATTTTTTGACTTGTGGTTCACAAAATTCATTATATTTTAAAGGAATAAATGTTTTCAATTCGATGCCTAGACATATCAAACGTTCAGCAACACTTAAATAATTAAAAAAAAAAACACTGTGTTTCACACGTTAAAAGTGTAGTTTGAACAGTTATCCTGCGATTTGTTTTTTAATGAATTGACAAATTATGTATCTTGACGAAATTATCTCTAACGGTTTATTTTATATGAATACCTGTCATAATGACTTTTTAATAATCATTGTAGCACTGCAAACACTATTTTTGTTCACCACGATGGTGATGATGGATTTTTAATATTTGATTTAATAGTCGTAGATTAATTTAAAAAAGTCAAATCATCAAAGGTTTGAGCTTCGCGCACGTATTACGGATATAGAGGATCAGTCCTCTATATTTAAAATTTGATAAAAAATTGCAATTTTGAAGCATATTTGGAAGATACCTTGAGTTAGTAGTACGTTTTCTGGCAAATGTCGGGGTTCGTGAGCATTCCTGTGATTGCGGGGTTGCTAGTGTAATATGATGCTTTGATGATTGTTCATTAACTCTTGATAGCTTGTAAAACTTATGAATATTTTAGGTGAACAAAAAGGCGAACTAAGAGGTGGACGCTTGAGCTTTTCCACATTTATATCGCTGTGAAGCAACTGTAAACTCTAGAGGGAATTTATATCTGTAACTTTAACCAGTTCGATTTTGTTTGCAAACCTGGTTAAATTGTCATATTTAATTATCTTAAGGATAAATCGTCCAGCTCAAACCTTTGTAGGGGTAAGAGGTGGGACCATCATCATCATCATCATCATCATCATCATTATATTAAACGCTGATTTGAAAATAACAAAATTATTACCATTGTTAAATTCATGTTCAAGTTTTTGTTAATCTCAACAACATTCACGAAAACACACATTTTCTATCGTTAGCTGATGTACTTTCGATTTCTATAATGACGATCAAAGTGCCGGGTCGGAGGTAACACATCGTTTCTGAACCCCCTTGCAAAGGCTAAGTTTTGCTTTATTATTTCCAATTGAGCAGTTCCAGGCCAAATAGCGAATAAATAAAGAAATTTTAGATTTAACTTTCTAAGAATTCCATGAATCTTCTCATAATTGTTCGCTAGGTGCAGTGAACCAAGTTTGGGTCGGTATTCGACCATGTTGACTCACGGTTAAATTTTTCAAAATAGCGTATCCGATATGTTTAAATAAATAATAGCACGAGAACGGCTTCTTTATCAAAATGACGTCCGAGACAAAGTAGAAAAATGGATTGTTATAAAAAACGCACTAAAAGAAAAACATCACAAAGTTTTGTCAAGAAACAAAAAATAAAGTTTAAAACTTCAATAAAAAAAATGCAATATTAATATTTGTAAACTTATGGTGAATGCTAACTTTTCTGAAATGCGCATAATGCACAATGGTCCCAAAGCCGTATTTAGGAAGACAAAAATATTTGGAATAAATTATTAGTTTTAGGCATATGGTGTCTTCGGAAAAGTTTCTTCATATTTTTTGGCCAATTTTTTCATGTTAGTGAAAAAAGGGTAGCCCATAAAATTGGTGAATTGAAAATGTGAACTTTTTTATGGTTTGAGATAGA